AACACGAGTTGATGCTGATTGAGAACCGTGCGATGATAGTTATCCGTCGATATAGAGTGTTAAACGCCGGAATTGAAACGTGACTTGCACCAACCAGGCGAAGCGTGAATAACGACCACACACCGGTCGGTTCTTTGTCAAATCCGACTCGGTAGACGCACGTTACTAATGTTGACCTATGGCTTGCCAAACATCCATATGTGCTCACTGTTCAGCTACCATTCTTTGTACTCGAGTTCATTGCCCCGTTATGCACGCGCGCACGGTCTGTTCGTCCGGAGCCGGTGGTGCAGAGGCTCCCGAACCCGCCCGTGCCGTGCTGAGCTGAGCTGAGCTTTCAGCACCTGCTGGCAGATGGTATCAGCGGCGCTGCCAGTCGCGGCTCTTAGGCCTCGTTCTGCCGGCGATCCGCCGCCGATAGCGCCGCTCTGCCGTACAGCTGGCGGCCGCGGAAAGTCTGCCGATCGCTGCCCGCCGTCTGGCGCAGATTAGGAAAGAAATCAGTGGGGGAGATTCGGCAGGAGATCGGCCCGCCATGGCAGGAGGCCGACATCTGTGGCAAATTAGAGCGCCTCTCTCTCTCTCTCTCTCTCTCTCTCTCTCTCTCTCTCTCTCTCTCTCTCCCGCCTCTAGCTCACTACACCGCCCCAGCTGCCCTCAGAAGCTCCTTCATTCACCACCCCCGCTGTCGTCCATAGCTCACCTCACCTCACCTCACCTCATACACCGCCCCAGCCACCACAGGGACCTACCGCACTCCCCCAGCTGCTGACGAGGCTCCAACACTCCCCAGGTGCCTCCGAGGCCCGCCGCCCCAGCTCGCTACACTCCCCCAGCTACCACGGGGACTCGTACACGGTCCCAGCTGCCGCGGGGAGGCGCGCCGCCCATCGGAATGCCGCCGATGACGTCTGTGGGCCGGCGCTTATGGTCTATCGGCGGCGGCACCTCCCCAAATGTCGCCGACCGACACAGAGATGGACCGGCCGTTAGCCGTTCCAATACGGCCAACAGCCGCCAAAGCCGGCGGCGCGGCACGCAATCCGTGTCGCTTGACCGGGCCCCCAGCCATTCGGAAACCGGCCCGGCCGCGCCGCGCTCAGAGGCGGCCGGCGACCGGCAATGCAGGCGATAAAAACGCCGCAATTTTGTTATTAGATAAATTCATACCATGTTTGCAACTGAAGACGGATTAAGCGCTTGTATCGGTGACTGTTTATGCAGCGGCATCGTCGAAAATCCTACAATGATCGAGGTAGTTGAAGATTTTTCATGCAATATGGCTATAATCTGGTCTTAAATGGTGTTGGGAGATGCTATGGATTTTTCTGTAGATTGTTTTCGTTCGATTCATTGCTGCGGTTGACGTGCAGCCAGGGAGACATTATCGTTGAAATATGGACATCGGACACTGCCTAACGTTAGTGGCTATTTATTACACTGGCACTGCAGGTGTGGGTCCAACAATGATTATCTCAGCGTGCTGCCAGGGTGATCGTGCACGTGCACACGAGCTAGCCATAGGCTGATGATAACTTTTGCATGCTATGTTTATTGAAAACCACCAACAATCACAAATGTCAGCACACTAGCAGACAGAGTGAAACTCACATTGCTTTATGTATGTTTCATATTTAGAGGCAGCCCGGTGCCGAGTAACTCTGCCCCCAGCCTCCGCTCCCATCACGGACCTCATCTCCATTCTGCGGCTCCTCCCATGTCACGAACGCTCCGTATCCCCGTGTATCACCGTCCGTGTCTGTCTCCGCCGACCGCGCGCGATGTCCCAATCTGCCGCCTCTCCGGGCCGCGCCGCGCCCACTTTCAATAAATTAGCATAGACAATGGATGCTCCGGCACCGGTCGCACGGTGCGTGTTGGTCCCAGCTGTGTGGGGATCCGAGGGACGATTCGTATGCGCCGCGCCGGCCGACGTTCAGTCATGGGAGCATGTCGGATGGACCGGCGCGGCGGTACGGCGGTGGGTGAGCGGTCCGGCGCTGTGGCACAGAGGCCGGATATGTGTCACTAGGTAATGGAGTGACAGGCGACTGGCGGTTGACGTCGTGGGAAACTGAAGGTGCGATAGTGGGATTGTGATTGGATGTTGCGTCATCATTCGCTCGGGTGCCAATGTGCGATTTTCCATGGAAGGAACCAACTTTTATTAGTTTACGCATGCCTAGCATTGAATAAATATATTTGGAAAGCGGAGGAACGTTTTCGTTAATTGCTATCCAACTGTAAGCACAACATAAACAGCATAAGCCAAAAGCATGTCATCTATGCAATCGGGGAACATCTAGCATGCTAATCCAATTAAATGACAATTTTTCATCAGTCGCTCACATCAAATCAGCTTGGCATCACGATGTGGTCTCTTTGCGCCAAGCGCCGATCGTAAACCACCACATCATTTGTCGCCACCGTCGCTACTGGCCTCTTTCGCGCAGTTTATCGTGACCGGATGGTGGTCCCGTGAATGGCCACCTCGATGACAGCGCCGTTCGTCCATTAAACCAGGTGCCACGGCGCTGGCAGGGGCCGCAGCGACTGCCCACTGTTCTCCATGTGTCAGCAACTATACACAGACAGCCAACACCATATAGGGAGCGCGTCATCTTGTCGCGTTGACTGACGGCCCGGTTTTGAGGGTCGCTAATCGGCTTTGAGTCTGCGCCCGGCGGGCTCGTCTGCTCACCATGTCCGGTTGCATGACGCTCGTCATGAGATGGCCGGCAGACAGGACAGGACAGGACAGGACAGGACAGGACAGGACAGGACAGGACAGGACAGGACAGGACGGGACACAGAACAGGACGGGACAGGACAGGACATGACAGGTGGCAGCAGAGTAGGATGGGTGGGTATGGCCGGGGGTACGGCAGCCCCGCTGCCTGTCGTTCCCTGCCTGTCCAACAGCGCGCGCGGTCGTTCCCAGTCTGTCCAACAGTGCGCGCGGTCGTTCCCTGTCTGTCCAACAGTGCGCGCCGTCGGCCAGTTTGGAGCCGCAGCGCCCGCCCGGCAGTCCATTCGAGTAGACTGTGCGGGCTAGTTTGGTCACAGCTCGTGACCTGGAGGTCATTTAAATTCATCGACCTCCTTATTTGTCAAACGGATTTGACGTCAGCCGTAAGTCTTTTGTGGACGTCCAAAGACTTAAAACGTTCAAGTAAAAATGTGTACAAGTCGTTAGCTCGTTTGAAAAGTGTCCTGAAGTGGCTGTTAGCAGACGCGGCTGGACGGGCTCGACGTGAGTCAGCGATGGCGACTCGCCGACAGCCAAACAGAGTCACCGTAAGGCAAACACAGCCACGCAGATGATCCCAGGATGGAGTCATCTATAACGCCACCGGCTCCCCGCTGTTTCGACACCATAACTACCGAGGTCCGCAGCGAACCGAGCCGCTGGCCACTCTCAGCATACCTACGCATCGATCTCCATGACATTTACCGATCGCAGAGGCGGCATTTCTCGTGTACTGCCACCGGTGCCGTCCGGTCCGCAGCTGGCACCGGCGCCTCCCACGGTGCCGCGACGCCATGGACCGCCGGCCCGGCGACGGCGTGCGGTCTGCACGGCCGGCGGACAGTTCTGCTGAACAGGGGCGGATTCAGGCGAAAGGCGGATCTGAAATATGTCTGGAGATTTGATTTATGGTGACATGCTGAGGGCTGGGCAGAGCATGACGAGCAAAAAGCGAGAAAAGTGTAGATGTCAGGTTGGTTCCACTATTCTATTTGAAATGTTTACTGCCTGCTTATTACTCGTTGATTGAACGACCGACATCCTTTCAGGCTCATGGCAGCAGGGCATTATCATACGCCTCACCCAGCATACCTAGCCGGTCTTGCATGCCTGTCCAGGACTAGCAGGTAGATAGATAATCTGTCCTAAGTCCAAACGTTGTCCTGCTACTTCTGACTGATCATGCGCCAATGCATTATCGCACGCGTAATCTCGCATGCCTATCCAGCGTGGAGACTTTGTTCGCTTCCCGGACACCAGGAGACTTATGACCGCTACCATGGACACTGCAGAGTAATGGTGCACCCCTCAGCACCATCGCTCAGCGCCGTGAGACCGCCGGTCCAACCCCACATCCAGCCATCTGAGTCGGCCCTTTTGCGGCACACTGCAGCCGAGCGCGGAGCAGCCCGTTGGCCATTTTTACGCCGGCCGCGCCATAGCCATGTCCGCGTTTGACCTTATACGGCGCGCACCATTGCCGAATCGGCTCAATTCGAGTTAAGCCGCGTGATAAATGTCTGGCGAACATGCTGGCGCGGCGGTCGGACCGCGTGGCCGGCCTGTGGTATGTCGATGGCCCACTTAGGGGCGCGCCGCGCCGGTCGCACCTTCCCCCAGCGAATCGATCCGTGTTTGATTGGCCCGGTATGATCTCACCGACGACTGTAGAGTACCGGGCGTCGTCAGCCAGTCATGCAAAGGGCACCGGTGGCCGAGGCACGGACCGCCAGGGGGTGGCCCGGCGCTCCCAACGAGCCCTGTCCGCGGCATGCAGAGACAACCATCACCTGTGGCCCAAAACCCAAACAGCGACCGGCTGGCAATGCGGGGGATTCTACGGGAAATATCTGATAATCAGGCATGCAACTTTTTCTCCAACTGGTAACCGGCACCACATCAGCATGAAACTGAAAAAATGACGTTTACTGACTGGTGCAATATGCCGACAAATTACCACCATTTAGCGGCCATTCAAAGCCAGCGCGTCATCCGAATGCTATGCCGCCGGAAACTTACGATTCACAAGAGACGGTGGCGTCACCGTCCCGCCAATTTGTCACGGGCATGGAGATAGAAAATGATACATTGCAGTCTGATATGGTATTTACGCATCACATTCATTTTATGAGTGTACACGTATCAATAGTTTGTTCATGCCTCACTTTACCCCTGACTGCATCACCATTCCTACCATTAGCCAAGGTGCATGTGTAGCTGACGCGCTCTTCGCCCCCTTTTGTGATTTCAGCTCTTCGATGAAGGGCTACTCGCAGAAGAACTACCACATCGGCGACGGGACGCTGTACAGCGTCATGATCCCGCACCAGACCAAGCAGGTGGCGAGGACGTACCGAGGGTCGACGCCCGGCCGCGGCAGGGGAAGGTGAGAAAAGAAAAGCTGCATGCCACGGCGCTCCGACCGCACCAGGCGCGCACACTCACACTACGCTGGAGAGGCGAAAGGGTGGAAGGAGGGTCACTTTGGTAGGAGGTAGGGATATCAGAAGTGAGGCGAAACATCGCAGCAGGTTGCTGGTGCTTGTGGCAAGTAAGGCAAACGATAGCACATGCAAAAAGTAAGCTATCACAAAGAAAGATATAGTGATACATTTGAAGGTCATGTAGCCCTTTTATTTAATTTGTAGCCAGATATAAGTGAACTTCAAAGACCAAGGTGTGCCTCTAACTGTGTACAAGTACGGGAAACACACCCAGATGAGTAAAGATACATTCACAGAAAATGATAGCGATAGGCGTTCTACTTATGTTCTTACGTACGCCTACCTTGTAAACCGATCCCAGAAAGATCGCTCATCATTTTGTTGTTCTTGGCGGAGATCAAGATGAAGATATGATAGCTAGCGATTACAAAGAACAGGTATTACGAAAGAGGAAACACTGAGAATGAATCATTCCAGCTTTTTGCACTTACATACGGTGGTGCGGGAGTGAGCATCGTACCATCACTAAGTCATGGTTTACAACGCGGGACAGCTGACGGCGGGACCGTTTGTATTCCCGTTTCAAATATAAGCTCCATCACTGACAGATCGCCGTTACAAAACGCACCGACCTGATGCGCACGGACGGCAGCTCCAGCTCCAGTGTTGAGCATGCAGAACCTGTTTGTGGCCGTCGCACCGAAGTGGTCTCAGCCTTGCGCGCCGCACGTGCAGATGCCATCCATTCCATACCCGTCCGCCGCTGGAATTCGCACAGCGAACAGTTCCCACGGCCTAACCCGTCAGCTGGGGGGGGGGGGGGGGGCGACAGCACGCGGAGCACCTGCAGTGAGTACAGGCCGGGGTCGGGTCGGAGGGAGCCCCTCACACCACCTCGGGCCAGTGTCAGCTGCGCTGCAATACCTCGGCCAGGGGAGCCAGGTAATGTAGTCACAAGCCGAGGCATTCACGCACATCCTGTCAGCTCGAGTTCCATCAGGATGTGCCTTCCGTCACCTCACATGTGACAGGCGCCAGTCGCATTCGGTTACACGGCCCAAAATAGAGCCGCTTTCGGCTCCTTTCCGGGAGAGCTTGGCGCCCAGCCGCCCAGCGTGCCCGGGGTGGGGCGAGGCGGCGGCACGTCGGGGAGGGCCCTCTTACCGCGGCGCCGCATCGCGTGTTATTTTGGCACGTACCCCACCGGAGGACGCCTCCAAAACTGGAGTGCCGCGCCGTGCGCTCTCTCTGGAGAGACAGAGAGGAGGCGCGGATCACGGAGACGGCCGAGCAGCCATCGCCAGCCGGCGTGCAGCTAAAATAGCCGGGTCGTGCCGAGACGAAGGACGGGCGCCTGGCCTGGTCCTCCCCTCGGCGAGCTCCGCCCACGTGGGAACCGGACGGAAGCCGGCGGCGACAGCCGCATACCTTGGGATAGTTTTGGAGCCGCGCGCGCCGTCACAGCACTCTGGATGGATTTCCTTCCATGAGCGGACGTTTTCCGGTCGGCACAGTGCATTGTTGCACGAAAGCGGTCCACGCAGCCGGAGGAAAACCTGCAGACTCATGAATGGTGGCGAGGCTACGAGCCAGACCGCTGGCCTTCGGATTCTCGATGAATTATGAATGAACATGGTATGACGTTTGGTACCAATCACAACCTGACAGGTTATTAATCTGTACAGCGACCTATATATGATCGCCAGTATTAACATGTTCATTCACAACCAGCCCACAAAAGGACTTCAGCGACAAATCGGTTTGTTTCAATTCGACGATATACCTACCAGGAAATTCATTCTCAAATGCTGACAGCGTTGTTAGCAAATGTCAACAAAGCCTACAATACAGCCGAACCAAACAACATAACCAGCTACTCGATTAGTCGTCAGCTGTTGACGGTTCCGGGAACTCACTCTGCTCAATATATCCCCCGTCGATTTCCATCGCCGATATTCATAAAACCCGTCACTGGGTGTCCCCCGCCCCCAGCACCAGCCTGATCTGATTCAAAGCACGAGTAGCTCCGACTGTCGAGGTTACCAGAGTTGCGGACGGCCCAGGTGCAGCCCCCCGGTATACCGCAGCCACACACCGGACGTTCCAGGGGCGCCACTCACCGCCGCCTCGCCCCCGCAACCGCGCCAACATCGCCGCAACTGATCGGCTTCTGTCCTTATAGAGCGGAACGATTCACCCAGGGCATATTTTAACATACTGACTGCGTCCCATTTTGGGACGCAGCCCCCTGCCTTTGGGACGTAGCCCTCGCAAAATTTGGACCACTGCGTCCCACACTGAAATGCCACGGTTTCAGCCGAAAAGTGCGAGCAAAAATAAGTAACATGCCTCGGTCTTATACTGTGTAAAAGATGTAGGCTTTCCGATTGCTTTGTGCCCTGATTTACTATGTACCTAAGCACATACATGCCCTCTCCAGTCCTTGTGCCCTGCCCTACCCTTGGTCATACACCTTATTATGTTCTTCCCTATGTACTATACCCCTAGGATATGTGCCCTGCCCAGTGCCCTGTCCTTAGGTCTTGTACCTTGCCCTGCCGTTTCTTCAGGCCCTGTGCCCTGCTCTGCATTCAGGCCCTGTGCCCCGCTCTGCCCTGCCCTCAAACACGATACTTTATATATTCTGCCTGGAAATTTGATGCGCTGCCTTCCCGTCTTTTGGCCCCGTGCCCTGCCCTACCCTAGTTTGGGGCCCCTGCCCTTCTCTGCCCTCAAGCCTTGTGACACGTCCTGCCATCAGACCCCGTGCCGCTGCCTTGTCTTCAGGTACTGTGCCCTGCCCTGCCATCAGGCCTTGTGCCTTACCATGTCCTCATGCCCCGGCCCCGCGCCCATCCTCGAGCCTAATGCCTTGCCCTGCCTCAGGCCCTGTCCTGTCATGTTCTGCTTCCAGGCCTCATGTGCATTGCCCTGCCCTTAGACCCTGTGCCCTATTCTGTCATTAAGCCTTATGCGTGGTATCGCCCTCAGGCCCGTGCCCTGCCTCGCCCTAAGTTGCTGTGCTCTGCCCTGTCGTCAGGCCTTGTGCCGTCCCATGCCATCAGACACTGTGTCCTACTCTGCCCTCAAGCCCTGTATTCTGCATTGCCCTAAGATCTCGTGTCCCATGCCCGCTCTCAGGCGCTGTGCCCTGCCCTGTCATCAGGCCCTGTGGTGTCTCCCGCCCTCAGGTCCCGTGCCGTTTCCCGTCCTCATGCCCCGTGCCCTTACCTGTCCTCAGAGCCCGTGCTTTGTTCTGCCTTCATGCCCTGAGCCTTGCCCTGCCCACAGGCCCCATACCCTGGCCCTGTTTCACCGGTGATAGCACTAGCAGCACGCTGCTAGTACACGTGTCAAATTGGGTTTCCATGGAGACATCAACAGGCCCATTGCTCAAACACTACCACAAGTATGACGTCAGCTCGCGGAATTTAATAGCAGCGTCCGTGAAACACCGCCCACGTCTTGTCATACCTTCGGGGCCCGAAGGTATGACAAGACGTGGGCGGTGTTTCGGGCCTTGTGCCATACCTGTGTCTTATGTCTTGCTCTACCTTTAGGTACTATTTCTTGCTATTTCTAGGTACTGGCCTCTTGCACCAAACTACCTAGCTAGGTAACATCGAAAAACCGGTTTCAGAATAAGCTAATCTAAGGGTGGTAAATTTGTTTGCAATAGCCCAATACATAATCCTACATGTGCTTGCTAAATTTTGCACGCAAATTGTTACATTTGAGACTTGGACTGGGTATACGATGCAAAATAATCCAAGCATCCACACCTCTAAGATCCTGCGTGTTGCCCTGCCATCAGGTGTGTTGATCATCAGGTGTTCTAAGGTCCTGTGTCTTGCACTACTCTCCGGCCTTGTGTAATGATAGCCTCAGACCCGCGCCTTGCCTTGCCCTCGGACCCTGCATCCTACCCAGCCCTCAAGTATCCGTCTTATCTTAGCTTCATGGCCTGTGCCTGCCCTGTCCTTAGGGCTCAGACTCTGTGTCCTGCCCTTCCCTAAAGTCCTGTTTAGAGATGTCAAGTTGGAGCCCGCAGGCCCAGAGCCTGGCCCAAAATCCGGCCCTACAGGGCTTTTGCATGCACAGTGGATTGTATCATTGTTTTGAGGTACCTCATCGAAACGCATCGACTGATATGCGACATGATCTATCTTGGTCACGAAATGACCTTAATGTGAGGTCAAGTTCTGACCTTGACATTCCGAGGTAAAAATGAGAGAAGAACGATCGTGCAAACGAAAATTCTGCACCTTTTTTTAGTTCAAAAGCTTTTCATGAAACCTATATTGACAAAAATTGTAATTTTACCCGTTTTTGGCTATGGAGCCTTAACCGTTGATCTGAACTCAATTCTGACGAAATATTGACGAAAGAGCTGTTCAAGATATATCGATTGCTTTTCTCCTATCGATTGCGCCCTCCTAGCTATAAGCATCATCATCATCATCATATTTATTTGACATCCTTTGAGGACAAAACAAGGAGAACATATCTTCATAACATAACCGTGACACATGAAGATACAAACACAGCACGGCACAACAAAGTCACGTTTGCAAAGCACGGGCAGCTTTTTACATCAGGCGGACTAGGAGAATCAGTTTGGATGTATTGTTACAAGCAGCCTTACTAGCTGCCATGACTCGGCGCTGTTGCTGTCCATCAGCCAGCTGAGCGAGTCCGCAAGGCCACACTCGGGCCTGGGCGTGTGCACCCAGTCTCCGTGTATATGACCGCTGGCAGCCTCCATATCTGATCGGCAGCCTCGGCCCTGATCTGGCAGCATACGGTCAGATCAGGGCCGTCATGGCCGTCTGGCCATAGGAGGATATAGAGGGCCAGAGGGGGCCACGGGGCCATGCTCCCCCCCCCCCAAAGCGCCCGGAAATGGCACAAAATCGACACATTTCTGGGCATAATAATTAAA